AAAATTCATATGGAATCTCAAAGGACCCCAAATAGCCAAAACAATCTTGAAAAAGAAGAACAAAGCTAGAGGACTCACATTTCCTGATTTCAAAACCTACTATAAAGCTACAGTAATCAAATCAGTGTGGCACTGGCATAAAGACAGACATACAGACCAATGGAACAGAATAGAGAGCCCAGATATAAACCCTCACATATATGGTAAAATGATTTTTGACAAGGGTGCCAAGACCATTCAATGGAGAAAGGACAGTCTTTTCAAAAAATGGTGCTGGGAAAACTGGATATCCACATGCAACAGAATGAAGTTGGATCCTCATCTAACACCATACACAAAAATTAACTCAAAATGCATCAAGGACCTAAATGTAAGACGTAAAACAATAAAACTTTTAGAAGAAAACATAGGACAAAAGCTTGATGACACTGAACTTGGCAATGATTTCTTGGATAGGACACCAAAGGCAGCGGCAACAAAAGAAAAAAATAGACAAATTGGACTTCAGGAAAACTGAAAAATTTTGTGCATCAAAAGACACTATCAACAAAGTAAAAAAACCTCACAGAACGGGAGAAAATATTTGCAAATCATATATCTGATAAGGATATACAGAGAACTCCTAAAACTCAACAATAAAAAAACAAACAACCAGATTCAAAATGTGCAAAGGACTTGAATAGACATTTCTCCAAAGAAGACATGCGAATGGCCAATTAGCATGTGAAAAGATGCTCAATATTGCTAATCATTAGGGAAATGCACATCAAAGCTACAATGAGACATCACCTCACACCCATTAGCATAGTTACCATCAAAAACACAGAAAACACCAGGTTGTTGGAGAAATTGGAACCCTGGTGGTGGGAATGTAAAATGGTGCAGCCGCTGTGGAAGATATTATGGAGGTTCCTCAAAAAACTCAACGTAGAATTACCATATGACCCAGCAATTCCACTTCTGGGTACATATTCAAAAGAATTGAAAGCAGGGTCTCAAAGAGATATTTGTACACCCATGCTCATAGCAGCATCATTCACAATACAGTTATGCAGCTCATAACGATGTTTTGGTTAACAACAAACTACATGTGCAACAGTGGTCCCATCGATCAGTGCCATACAGCCTTGGTGTGTAGCAGGCTCTTCCGTCTAGGTATGCGTGGACACTCTATGATGTTCACACACCGATGACGTCACCTAACAACTCATTTCTCAGAACGTGGCCCCTTCATTAAGCGACACGTGACTGTAGCTAAAATGTGGAAGCAATTCAAGTGTCCATCAACACGTGAACGGATAAACAAAATGTTTGTAAACAACAGAATCTTATTCAGCTTTAAAAAAGGATATTTTGTCACATGCTACAACATAGATGAACTTCAAAAACATCATGCTAAGTGAAAGAAGCCAGTTACAAAGGACCACATGTCATATGATTCCATTTACTGTATATGACACGTCCGAAACAGGGAAATCCACAGAGGCAGAGCGAAGATTGGTGGCAGCCAGGTTTTCTTTCTGAACGTGTTTTAGAAGTAGGTAGAGGTGGTGGTTGCACAACAATGTGAATGTACGAAATGCCACTGCATTGTTCCCTTTAAAGTGGTTAAAACAGTAAATTTTATGGTATGTGTACATTACACAATTTTTTTTAACTCCTGTAAAACTGATTAACTTTCTTTCGACTGCCTGAACAGATTGCGTGGGAAGGTGTTTTGCTAAAAGTGAACACAGGCCCTTCCAGCTGGACATGCACAGATGCCACTGTGCGGCAGCATTTCTGCTGCTTTTCCATGTCTGGCCGCCGTCTGTCAGTCCATCCAGGCCCGTGGTCCTGCCTCGGATCCAGGGCGCCATGTACACCCTTGGTCTGAGCCTTCTCACTTACTCCCCGAGTCGGGCAAGGCTGCCTGAGGCCAAGGAAACTGTGCACACGAACACCCACAGGGGCGCCAGAATCACACGGTGCACCCAGTCCACCGTGGCTGTCGGGTGACCAGAACAGAGTTGTCCTAACTGCCCAAGACTGGCGTTAAAATCGAGTCAAGAGGGGCCGGCCTGGTGACGCAAGCAGTTAAGTGCGTGCACTCTGCTGCGGCGGCCCGGGGTTCGCTGGTTCGGATCCCGGGCGCGCACTGACGCACCGCTTGTCAAGCCACGCTGCGCAGCGTCCCATATAAAGTGGAGGAAGATGGGCACGGATGTTAGCCCAGAGCCAGTCTTCCTCAGCAAAAAAAGAGGAGGATTGGCAGATGTTAGCACAGGGCTGATCTCCTCACCAAAAAAAAAAAAAAAAATCGAGCCAAGAGCAGAATACGGGAGAGAGGTCAACGCTCGAGGAGCCCCAGGGCCTGGGAGACGCCGCAAGAGGTGGCATTCTGCTCAGACTCCCGACCAGTGAGGTGACCACCGTCCTGCTCCCTCGTGCGCTGTCCAGCCAAGCGGACGTCAGCGCATGGCGTGGGCATCTGTGAGCAGGGGAGGGACACTGCCCAGTCAACCACCCTTGGCACTCCCCAGGGACCTGGCCGCCTCCCAAGCACTGGTGGAATGTTCTCCAACGAAGCTGAGTGGTCCCCAAAGCCTCAGAGCCGCCCCTGGTAAGCATCTCAAGGACCTGCTCGTGTGTCCAAGACGATACTTTTGAGAAGCTCACCACATTCTCCACGTTCCCCCACAATGCTGCTGCCGCTACCCGCGTGTCACTCCCACTTCAGCCTCCGGCAGAGACCCCCGCCCCCAATCCTGCACACAGAGCCCAGCCAGGGCCCATCACCACGCCCTACACGAGGCCTGAGTGCGAGCCTGGGTCAGCATCCACCTGGGAAAAAGCAGGGAGGTGCCGAGGTCACGGACAAAGAACCCAAGACTATGGGGCCACCCTGCCGGGGCCCTGGCCACACTGTGGGCTGAGACTGAGAGGCGGGAACACCGTCCCTCAAGCCCTGAGGCCACACTGGCTGCTGGCAACATCTCTGGGCAAATAGACAGCCTGTCACCATTGTCAAAAGCCATCCAGGTGACAAACAAATCTGGCTGGAAGAGCCCCTCCTACAGAGTGAGGTGGAGGGGACAACCTTCACCTTCCTAGCGGGAAAGTCCATCTTTTATTTTTTTATGTGTCCAAAAAGACACGTAAACTGTCAAACGTGTAACTGCCCTTTCAGGGTGCATGCCCCTCTCCATGGGACGTGGGCACCCCAGAGGGAGGGTCACCGGCAGGAGAAGCCCTTTGAGGGACAAGGACCCTGAAGTCCCTGTGCCATTCTCTTCCGAGGCCCCCACTGACGGGCTCCTCTCTGGCTGCCTGGGGCCCCTGCAGGCAGGTTTCTGCATCATGGGGTCTGCTCCCGCCAGGCTCCCCCCGCCTCTCTAGGCACCCACTGCAGGTCCCCACCTCCTAAATCTCCTCCCTGACCCACAGCCTTGCAGCGCCCACGTCCCACTTGCGGAAAAGCCACACAAGCACCAGCTGCTCCTGGGCCAGGCGGTCCCACCTGGCCTCTTCCGCCCTGGAAGTTCTCACCCCCGGGGCTCCTCTCTCACCACCTTCCCAGTGCAGCGTCTGGGCCTCCGAATCGCAGGTTGCACCCCCACACACACTATGCACTTACTTACGTATCTCATCTGCCATCAGCCACCTGCCTCCCGCTAGGCCATCACGGGGCTCCTGCTGTCCCCCCGCCAGCAGGAGAGGCACCACAGGGGCAAGTGGAGGAATGTGCCTCCTCAGGCTCTCCCCTCATTGCCTGAAACACCCCTCACGTCCACCTCCATGTCCACCTGCCATGGCCACACCTCCAGCTGGTACCTGGGCAGTACTGGCCTCATCAGACCACTCCACCCCACTCTTGCCACAATCCACACTCCAGACGTTTCTGGGGCCCCACTGGCCACTCCTTCAGGGTCCCCTGCTCTCTTTGGGGGACCCCAGGGCCAGGCCTCAATCATCAGCCACTCTCTCCTGTTGCTCCAACAGCCTCCTCTATGCTGAGGGCTCCCAAACCCCCACCTTCAGCCCCGACTTCCCCCCAAATCCGAGACTCACACACCCAACTGCCTGCTCGACATCTTCACCAGGCCCACCAGGCGATGCAAACTCAGCACAGCCCCTGCCCAAATGTGCTCCACCCCAGCTCCCTGCCCAACACAGGGCTGAGGGACCAGACCTGGGAGCAGGAGGCTGGCCTGGAGCCCACCCCAGGACGCCCTGCTGGGAAGGGAGCTGAGCCAAGTCCCCTGAACTGAACGAGTGGCCACCTTGGTCCGGAGCTCCTTGCTCGCCTCGGTGGAGACGGCACAGTCTGGGCCAGAGGCTGAGCAGGGTGTGCTGGTCGGTGTGGAATTTCCACACACCCTGGACACGTGGGTGCTCTGCCCCAAAGGACGGCACGGGGCAAAGCTGCTCCAACCCACTCATGGCCCGGTGGCCTCTGGAATGCAGTCAGAGCTCTCCTCTGCACCCACTGTTCCTGGGACTTCATCTCCTAACAACAGACCCACCGTGGACACGAAAAGGACCCACCTCACTGGGGGCCGGTGTGGACTGGGAAGGGCAGACGACCAGGTGTGAGGGTGGCCGTAAGCTGGGGCAGACACATGGGAGCAGCATCCAGTCATGCCAGCCTGGGCCCTCCCCTCCTGGGGGAGATCAGGGAGTTTCCTGGACTTTTCCTTATGGCACCGACTGACCAAGCCGGGGCCATCCCCAATGGCAGTTAGCCAGAACATACACACATACAGTCCTTGGCAAAGGCAAGGACTCCAGCGAAAACCCCACACGAGGTCACAGCGGCTGCTCGCTCTGCCTTTAGACTCTTCGTGAGGATAAAGGTTCCTAAGTGACAGATCACAAGCAGCCGCCATTGTCACCCTCCTGCCATAATGAATCACGAGTTTACCCCGTAACCCGCAAACTGAGAGTCCACCCCGTAACCCACGGAGCGCGAGTTCACCCATAACCCGCAGTCCAAGTCGTAGGAAACCTGGATCACTCACTGTCTTCTCCGGGACACGGCATGCCTGGCTGCTCGGGGATGCTCGGGAAGACTGGACAGAGAGAAAGAAAGCACGTCAGTGCCCATGCAGCCTGCCATTCAGCGCACAGTCTTTCCTAAGAAGTCCTACTCCGAGTTATCGGGCCAATGTAGTTCACACAAAGCCCACCCTGCCAATGAGAACCTGCTCTTGGGAGATGCTCGCTAAGGCAAAACTTTAGAACCCCAAGCACATCTACGGCTGCCAGACTCCCTTTATAAGACTCAAAATGCACTGAGAAGGCAATTGGAGCAGCCGAGGTAAGAGAGCCGTCCAAGGAGAACTCCCGATCTGGATTAATAAATTAATATGAGAAAGAACTGCAATCACTTTGAAAACTGACTTCTGAAAGCACATTAGATTCCAATTCTTTATACTCAATATGGAGTTCAAAACTAAATATCTTAAAATATACCCTGTGCTTCCACAGTAAATTATTAAAATAAAGCTAAAACAACCTTTTTATTAATCTAGAAAATAAAGTGAATTTTTAAAGCACCACAGCCCTCAATGTTGAGAGGCAACATAAACGCACTTACCATCACAATAAATAAAGGGGACTAGGTTAGGTTTTAAATTTAAAACCTCATTTATATAAAGAGCTACAAAAGTTGGATATTTTGTAGCTCGGTGTTGGGGAGAATGATGATCCGACAGAAACCATGGACAGTCTCGAGCTCTGGTCCCAGGCTCTCGGGTTCAGCTGTCCACGCCTGCCAGCCTGGTGAAGAACCTAAGCTGCATGAGAAGTGGATGCAGACATGGCCGGTCGGCCACAGCTGCTGGAACCACGCTCTCTCGGGCCCCACAGAGACCCTGTGGAACCCTGGAAGTGCTTGCGAGCACAGTCTGAAAACCCCCAATTTAAAGACTCTACTGAAATGAAAACAATTGGTATTTCCCAAGACCCAATTCTTAACCCAACTCAGAGCTTAACAAGCTAAAGAGAGCTGAGCCTGGGGAAGCCACAGGGAGGGTCTGGTCCATCCTGGGCAGTGCGGTGGCAGCATGCCACCCACCTGCCACGGGCCCCGACCCTCTGAGCTCTGGGAGAGGTGGAGGCAGGTGACTGGACCCAGGCTTCCAATGCACCAGAGAGGCTGGCCCCCAGGAAAGGAGGGTGATGTGGGTCAACAACCAGAACCCAGGCGGCTGTGTCCAGTGAGAAGACCCTCACTAACCCTTTACCAGTAAGAGCAATCTTCATTTGGGTTGATAAAATGTAAGAGAGAAAAAACAAACCCAAATTGCATTATATTCAACATCCTTAAATTCTCTGGCATCCTAAGATTTTAAACTGTGATCCTCCGTGTGGCTTCCAGTGCCTCAGGAAGTCTGGTGAAGATGCCCACAGCCAAGAAGCCCCTCCACCCACCGGGCTCCCACCTCCCCAGACCGCAGGGGACAGACGTGGAGGGCCCCGCCTCCCGACTCCCACCCCCGCCTGCCGGCCGCCACTGACCGTGAATAATGAGCCCCTCGTCCCTGTGCTGACAGGCCAGGCGGAAGGCCTCCTCCAGCTCCATCTGGGAGGACACAGTGCAGGGGTCACCTAGGCAGGGCAAGAGACACGGCTGAGGCCACCGCAGGCCTAAGGCAAAGGGTCTGAGATGACGTGTACTCGGCACGTCAGAAACAAGTTTGAGAGGGTGCTGTTCGTGACCGGCCACTCCCAACTCAAGCAGAGTTGGGAGGTCCCAGAAGGACCTGTCGCCCTGCCCAGGGCCCCACCTCAGAACCAGTCAGTCCTCAGAAGGGACGATTTCACTCACAGCCCAAGAAGGCCCCCAGAGAGCTAGCACGAACTTTCCTGGCTGGGGCAAGATTAAGGACATTCTTCTTAGGTCAGTCCTAGACAGAGGGAGAGGCTCCTTGCCCTCTGTCACTGGACAAGCACATAGAAATTCATAAAACCACAGCCCCATGTGCTCATTCCAACGGGAAGGGGGTGGCCTGGAGTCTCCCTCATGCTCATGCGTCCTCAGCTGACAGTCATAGTCACAGCCACGTGGGGGACGGGGGTCTCTCCTGGACAGTCTCCCAACCCCTCAGCTTTCTCGGATGTGTTTCCGACTATGAGAGAGGAGGGAGGGTGGGATGGAGGGAAGGAGGGAGAGAAGGAGGGAGGGAGGGAGGGCGGGACACCATGGGGCCCCAGCTGCAGGTACCCTCTCACTTCCCCTGAGGAAATGCAGAGTTCCCCCTTCCCAATCACCCACCAGAGATGCCCAGCATGTGAGCCAGGAAGGCCAGGTAAGGAGGTAAGGACCCGCCCACAGCGGGGGCTGGGAGACCCTGCAGCCTTCCGCTGCCCAGGACCAGTCTGCCATAGGGCGGGACGTCCTCCTCCCGAGGGGCATCTCACCTCCTGGCCCCCAAGCCCGGTTTCCCTTCACGCGCTCGGCCAACCTCCTTCCAGGAAGCGATTTCCCATGTCCCCACAAGGGAAGCTGGCTGTTAACAAGTTTAATTCGTGGCTTTACATCTCCCGAGGAAGGGGCCGGGCACACCTCACAGGCACAGACTTAGAGATTTACGGCCTGATGGACACACGTCCAGGCTACCTTCACTGTCCACCCACTTGAGGGTGAGCGGGTGCCCTGGATGCAGACTGCACATCTCTCTCACTTCCTCACAGAGCTCCTCGAAGGTCATCGTGGCGTCCAAGCTGGTGATCAGGATGTCCCTGGGCAAAGAGTAGGCACACATGTTTCACCACGGAGCACATTTAAATCAAATTAAATACTGATTACTGATTAACCAAGTTATTGATTAAATAAATGAGATGAAATTTTCCCCAAAGAAAATATTACAGCCTCCCCCAATAGAACTGACCACAGTTTTTTAAAAATACCACCACGAATGCCCTTGCACAGAAAGGAGAGACTGATCCTGGCGCCTGGATGCGTCTGAAAGGGGGAGAAAGAAGGAGGTGGGGGCGGCAGATAGCGCCCTCTCGTGGAAGCCGCCAAGCCCCTGCTCAGCCACCAGGTTCAAGTTCTGCCCAGAAGGTCACCCAGGAGGGGTGGGGTGGACACAAGTCTGTTCAGTCAAACCCATCGGCTTCACTAAACCTTCCACCCAGGGCCGGCCCAGTGGCGTAGCAATTAAGTGTGCGCGCTCCACTGTGGCGGCCCGAGGTTCGCAGGTTCAGATGCCAGGCATGGACCACACACTGCTGGTCAAGCCACGCTGTGGTGGCGTCCCATATAAAGTAGAGGAAGACTGTCACAGATGTTAGCTCAGGGCCAATCTTCCTCACAAAACAAAAACAAAAACCTTTCCCCCAACCTCGACAGCGCAAAGGGCAGCACGTCACATCTCATCTGAGGGAGTGGGACCTTCAGGGGGAGGCAGAAGTCGGGGTGAGGGAGGAGCAGAATGAAATAACGTAAGAATCTAAGGCTGCTCTTCTAAACCCTGGGGGGACCATCCAACTGCTTTCAGTGCGGCTATGACATAGTCCAGGCACTTTTTTTTTTTTTTTTTGGTAAGGAAGATTGGCCCTGAGCTAACACCTGTTGCCAATCTTCCTCTATTTGCTTGAGGAACGGTGGCCCCAGGCTAACATCTGTGCCCATCTTCCTCTATTTTGTAGGCAGGACGCCACCACAGCATGGCTTGGTGAGTTGTGTAGGTGTGCACCCAGGATCTGAACCTGCAAACCCCGGGCCGCCAAAGCAGAGTGCGCCAAACTTAACCACTGCACCACTGGGCCGGCCCCCAGGCATGTTTTATTTGAAGAGCATGTCATAGAATGTTACTGTCTTTTATCTTTTCATCTAAAAATGGGATGTTGAAGGTGGACGATCACCCTTTGAGGGCTGGCCCTTCAGAGGTGAGGCAAGTCAGCACAGGGGAACCAAGGATCCCCCCAAGGAGGGTAAGGGACGGGGCACTGTTCCCCTCCTCCCATGCAGTGAAACAAGACCCAGCCCTGTCCCCCACAACAGAGAGGAGGGATGGCAGGGATGGCGCCAACTCAGGTCCAACGTATTTTTACTCAAACTGTGAGCAGGAACCACAGCCTGGCCGGACACACTGAAGTTAGATGCTACAAGAGTGTGGAGCCTATAAAAAGAGACCTGAAGAGCTCCAAAACATCCCAAACAACAGAAATGTAGGGTCCACTTGGAGTTAATACCACTGGCTTCTGAACTCCATCAAACAAGGGTCTATAAAAAAAGTCTTTGTCCACAAGACAATAAATCCAGGGCTCCAGGGTCCAGGGTCCAAGATCCGTCCACTGGGAGCCCACTTTGGCCAAGCAGAGCCCACAGGTCTCACTCACCCTGGGGGCTCGAGGGAGATGTCCCCAGCTGCTCACCCCTTCCCACTGGAACTGGCCACCTCAGCACCTGCCCCCAGTACCCCAAGCTCTCCATGGGGACTAACCCAGCGCATAATGTCGCTAAGCCTGTAGGGTCAGATAGCAGGCAGACAGGGAAACTGGGGCACAGAGGGGTCACGTGGCTCATCAGTGGGGGCTCCAGAGACCAAACTCCCACCCCCACCTACTCCATCATCCTAGGGTCACCCGGACCTGGTACCCACACTGCCCAGCACACTTGCCACCAGACCCAGCGCCCACCAGTTCTCCTGTCACTCAGAACTCTGGAAGTTGGGGTCTGAAATCCCTTCACTTTTGACCTCTCCCTGCCCCATGACCCTCCCCCTACAATTCTGACCCCAAGTGGAAGCTAGGGTTCCCCCCAATGCCTCAGGGCCCAGAGGCCAGGAGGGCGGCTCCTGTAAAACCCCAGAACCCCAGCACTGTGGAAGCGCCTGACATCAGGCTGGACCACTGTGGGCCCCTCATAACCTGGTCAGAGCGATTCGGCTCTTCCCCTCCACAGAATGACTTCAGCACGCGTGGGGAGAGGCCATCCCACCCCCACGGCCAGACCCTGACCACCAGCCCCAATGTCAGCCCACTCCTGAATCAAGCAGCTCCTCTGAGCAAACAGGAGCTCTGGAGGCCACCAGCTCAGGGCCCCAAGTCAGAGCCCTGGGCAGCAGCCACCAGGAGTCTGCACCCAACAACCTGGTGGGCTGCCCCTCCCTGGACTCCTGGGTCTCCCTCCGGCCGCAGTACCCACCCCTGGGCTTTGCACATAGCAGGTTCTGGAACAGAAGTTCTGGAACACAAGCTTGAGCTGGAGAGAGGGAGGGTCCAGCACAGCTGTTTCTGTGATCTTAGACAAGCGGGCAGAGAAGGTCTGCAAACCCAGCACATCAGCTGGAGTCCCCTGAGAACGCAGGTGTCCGGGACCCCACCCAGACTCGGGGATGGCACACCCTGCTGGGGGCAGGGAGACCCTGGTCTCAAGCCTTCAGAGCGCCTCAGGGGACGGGCAAGGGTGGCGAGGAGAAGCTATCACTGTGCGGGCGGCTGAAGACCCTTCCAGTTTTAAGAAGAGTTTTCAATGTGTCTGACCCTCAGCTCCTGGCCGTGCTGCCCAAAAATGCCCTCCCTCCCGCGGCAGCAGCAGACAGAATGTCACGTGGACCGCGGGGTCTGGATAAATGAGCCCCGATCTTGGTGGGCGTCTTTCAGGCCCAGGGTCACTGCTGTGCTCTGAGAACTAGGTCTCCCAGCTCAGACAGCGGGGTTTCCAGTCCTCGGGGAGGGGCACCGGGGCAGAGCACTTTAGGAAAAGCAGGCACCGGAGGGAGTGAGGAGATGGGAATGGGAAGGAACCTTCAGCTCAGCCTGGGGCAGAAAGGAGGAAGGGTGTGGGAGGGAGAGGAGAAGGAGGAGAGGGGCTGAAGAGGAGTGGGGAAAGAGAGAGAAGGGGAGGGAAATGAAGCAAAGAGAGGAGGGGAAGAGGTGGGGAGAGAGGGAGGAGGGGAGGAGGGAGGAGGGAAGGGGAGGGGGAGAAGTGGAAGGGGAGGGGGAGGGGCGGGGGAGGACGGAGTAGAGATGGGAATGCAAGGAAGAGGAAAGAGTGTGGGGGCGTGGCCTCATCAGCATGGGGAAACCAGACTCAACAGGTCACATTACCCCTGGTAACCAGAGCGCTCTCCAAGGGCCAAAGCCAGGGGAGGGGTGGGTGGGTGGGCGGGTGGCTCAGCCCAGAACTCCCCCGGGCTCCAGTGAACTTTGCCTGTGACCCCCTCGGTCACCTCCATCCCCTTGCTCAGTGCCTGGAGGTGCCTACTTGAACTCGCCCTGGGGAAAGGCTGGGGGGTCCAGTCCCCACCCACCCGGGTGGCTCCGGGTGTGGACTTCCTCTCATTAAGGATCAACTCTGATTTTTACAGTGGCGTGTTGCTCAATTCCAGGTTCCCGGCAAGAAAGAGGACAGTGTCTCTGATATAGTGACGCCTTCCAGAGTTCACCCCTGCACAAGCCAAGATGCTCTGGCCCCTGGACGAGTCCCAGAACCAGGACCGAGCTGACATCTCACCAGGTTTAGTGGGCAGCCCACCCTTCCCGGCCCGAAGATAGGACTCCCCGCCTCTTCAGGTGGGCTGGCCGGTCTGTCCCCCAGAAATCTTTCTTCCCTCCGGTTCTGCCACCAACTCCCCTCCCCCACTGTGCACCCAGGTGACCCGGCTGAGGACGGCAGAGGAGACGGAAGAGGCCTGACCTGAGACCCCAAACCAGGCGCGCTCCCGAGGTCAAAAGCCCGAAGCCCCTCCTCCTCAGGTCGGAGGACGCGCCGGGCTCTGACAAGACCCCATGGAATGCCGCTAGAACCGAGACCGCCAAGTTCACCCGCAGGGCTGGCGTTCCGCTCCCCTCCCGCCGCCCCAGCAGTGGCGACCGACTGGAGACGAACACCGGTGGAAAGAAGCAGCAGCAAAGGCGCCTGGTTCTCCCTCCAGCGCCGTCTGCACTGCTCAAGGTGGGCAGCGGGATCTTGGCTTCCGGGCGCAGCCCCCTAAACTCGCACTAGTGCTGTTCGGTGGCGGCCAAGCGTCCAGCGCTCCCGGGGCCGGGCCAGACGCTCCCGGCCATTGACCCTTGTGAGGCGCCCGCTCGCCCCATTTCACAGCAAGACAGGTCGAGTCCAGGGCGCCGTGCGCGTACGCAGGACCGAGTCCGAAAGGTCCGGCCCCCAACGGAACCGCGCGGGAGCCTTTCCAGGCGCCCTCCATTCGCGCGACCACGGGCAGCTCACCGCACCTGGCCTTCACCTCGGTCATTAAACTTTTCTTAAACTGAGACCTCTGGCCGGGTAAATTGGGGAAAAGTTTAGAAACTCCGATTTTTAAAAGTCTGCCAGCAGTTTTCACAATTTGATAAAAACTTTAGTCCTTACAGGTTTGTGGCCTTAAACATCCTGGCCAACTTTCCAGGGAAAATGTCAACATTGTCCCCAGGGCTATGGGGCGCGCGGCGACGTCGGGGCAAGTCCGAGCGCCACCTCGCCACGGCGGGGGAAAACCCGCGTGGCCACCTGCGCCCGCTGCGCTCCAGGAAGGGCCCGGCGACCCTGAGCCTTGGGCGCCGGGGACCTGGCTGACCCTGCCCTGCCCATGAGGTTTTCCGCGGGTGACGTTCAAGGGCGCCCGCAGCACCCGCAGCTCCCGCCTCGCCTGGAGCTGCCTCTCGGCGCTGGTGCGTCAGGACCTCCCGGGTCGCCCCTGGGCCCAGAGGGGCCTCGCTGTCCCCTCCCTCCCGCAGCTGCGGTGACACGGTCCCCGACGGTCGGCGCGGTCCGGAGCTGCTCCCCGCGTCCCGCTCTGCCCCCGGCCCCGCCGGCCTCAGTACACACGCCCCCGGCCCCGGCAGGGCCCCGCCGTCCGGCGCTGCGCGCTCACCCGTTGTAGTGCGCCTTCAGGCGGACGCGGCCGCCGCTCCCGTCCATCTTGGGGCCCGTCCTGCTGGGCATGGCGC